AACAATTTCTGATACTCTCGGTAGGAGAGGAAGCTGAACACGGTCCATATGCATTGTCTCTGACACCTTTTTGGTATCACCTGGCAGGACAAAGTTCCAAACAGAATAGTCCTAGAACGAGCTAGAATTTTTTTAGCATGCATACATTACTGAAACAGTGGCATCTTTGTTGGCTCGGGCATGTCGTGAGAATGGCTGATGGTCGGATTCCAAAAGATCTCCTGTATGGAAAATTAATGCAGGGAAAGTGCATTACATCACAGCTGTGATACAAGGGTATCTGCAAAAGGGATCTGGAGGCCTTAGGAATGGACCTCAAAAGATGGGAAACCTCAACATCTGAGCATTCAGGCTTTAGGCAGGCGGTGCATCATGGCCTCTCCCATTTTGAAGAGACCCTTGTCCAGCAGGCCAAGGCAATGAGGCAGTCCCAAAATCAGCCAAATCAGGGAGCTTGGGAACAGACTGTATTTGTCTTCAGTGTGGAAGGGATTGTCACTCTCGAATTGGCCTTCTCAGCCACACTAGATGCTATTCGAAGACCTCTATTCCGAGCATATTACAATGGTCTCTCGAGACTGAAGGATGCCTAATCTGATTATAAAAGAGACATAAACTGTCAATTTTCCAGAATCACAGGGATGCTTGTGTGGAGGGCAGGAAAGTTTTGAAACTTTCCTTCCAAGAATAAAGGCTCTGTGGTGATGTGAAAAAGAAAGTATATAAAAGTAATTCACTAGTACAAAGTTAAAAAGTGGTCTATCAATTGCAGTGTTGTTTCGAGTTGATCCTAAATCATGTTGATGTTCAACATTTAGGATTGTTGTTGTTTAATTGTTAAGTCGTGTCCAACTCTTTGTGACCCCATGGACCAGAGCACGCCAGGCCCTCCTGTCTTCCACTGCCTCCTGGAGTTGAGTCACATTCATGTTGGTAGCTTTGGTGACACTGTCCAACCACCTCGTCCTCTGTTGTCCCCTTCTCCTCTTGCCTTCATACTTTCCCAACATCAGGGTCTTTTCCAGGGAGTCTTCTCTTCTCATGAAATGGCCAAAGTATTGGAGCTTCAGCTTCAGGATCTGACATTTAAGATATGCTGCCTTAAAGGTGATATGGCTATTTCCTATCCCAAAGGGATACAGTAACTTGTGGAAAATGCATACCACTGGAGTTTTGTGGACAAAGATTGCTTCCAGGCTGATAAGTAATAATCTTGTAAGGTTAAGGGAGCTAGGCCAGCTGGAAAAAACATGAGCTTCCGCCAGAGATTGAAGGTGGTTAACCAAAACCTATTTTCAACTGCCATGAATCCCATTTCTATTTAGAGAGTCATATTTGCAATGCAACAAGGTAACTGAGGGATAGCTTTGAGGAATGTCAACTGAACCTCTTGCAAGAAGAACAGATAGATTCCAAGATGAACACTATATTGAAGGTGGTTTGACTCCAAACAGCTGGCATATAAAAACACTCTCTGGAGCAAAATAAGTTTGTCAAAGTCACTTTGTAGTATTATATGGTCAACATGCTCCGCATGTGCCTGACAGCTGCCAGTCAGTTGGAAAATGGCATCTAAAAACTTGAAAGTACTCGTTTGATCTTGTGGTCATTTATGGATCACCTATATGGCTTCAGTCTTTTACTAAGACAAAGACCTTAGTTTTACAGTAATCTGTAAGCGTTTGTCATGGTAGTAGCAGGAATATGTGCATGTTCAAAGATTCGTGTCAGCTTGTACACATGGCATCACAGGTGCTGTGTGTTCCCTTTCCCTGCCTCCCAGGCCAGTGCCCCACTCACTAGCCAGAGTGCACTCCTCTCCTCCTTGGCTGTTCAGCCAATCCCAGGCAGGAACAGGGGATGGCCTGTCCCACTTCCTAGTTTAAGTGGGTACTCAACCAAGGAGGTCAGCAGGGAAGCTCGTGCTCCTTCTGGGGACTGGCTGAACAGCCAAAGAGGAGGAGAAGAGGAGTGTGTGCTGGCTGGTGAGTTGGAGAATCCACATGGGGAGAAGGTGCCCTACTTACAAACTGTGCCCATCTCTACACTAAACCATCATGCTATATATGCTATAGATCAGGGTCTAAATCACCCACATGAGGGCACAACCTGGGAGTTCTCTGGCCTGTTTTAAAGCCCGCAGTTAATCACAATATATTTTCTTTCTCACACTACAGAAGAGCAGGGCCATGTTCTTAGGGATGAAGAAGAGATAAATTAAAGGACCATCCATGAATCATCAAGAACTGAACATTCACAGTGCCTCCACTAATGAAGATTTTTAATCTGATTATTAATAGAAAGCAGTCTGCATTGCCATCTGTGATGCACAAAAGAAACAAATATGAGGCTTCAGACCACTGGTCAACCTAGAGCCCTAAAGCTCTTTAAATCTGGTTGTGGAGATTTCTATGTGAGGGATGATGAATTTCCCCCAGTTACCACAGAAAACAACTCAATCAAGAGGTAACATTCCCACTATAACCAAGCCTTTTCAGAAGATTGTAAATTTTGGCTAACTTCACTTCTCCTTTTGCTTGTTGGTTATATATTTCACTCCCTCAGGCCGCAGGGGCCAGACAGAAATAGAAGCAGAAAAACAACTCAAGAACAAAGATCCTGTTAATGAAGAGAAACCAAACAAAAAGTGAAAGGTCTGGGAAGCTACATATGCCACCAGTATCCAAGCCAATTCTGTTTTATCCCCCAGGTTCCAAGACAGACATCTGATGGCTTGAAATAACAGGCTTGTTATTTTAAGATAAAAGTCATTAATTTTGAGTAAAGCCAGATAAAATACTATGTGTATTTCATTATTATAACATTTCCATTTCCCCATTTAAAAATTAAAATTCCCTTTTTTTCCAGTGACCTTATGGTTTTTATGCTAAGAAGAAAACCATTTTAGCCCTTAGAAACACACACATAAAGGAAAGATGGATATAGCTCTAAAGGTCAGAACTGAGCTGGGGCACAATATTTTCAAACAACCTGACACAGAACAGGAGGCCCTGTCAGGTGTCATGAAAAAGAGAGGAAGACTGGATTAAACAGTTAGCCTATGTGAAGGGTCAAACTCGGGCCCAAGTAATAGTGTATTTATCAGATAACACCAACAGGGATAAGAAATCTGTCCCACAAATGTCCTTTTAAAACTACCCACAGCTCAGAATAGGTTTTTTTTCTTCGTCATCATCTCATGATAGAAGTCATTTTCCCACTGGTGTACAGTGAAAATTCAAAAGAATATCAACACAGAATATCCTAAATCCTGGAAGGAGAAAAGCTATCCATCACGTCAAGGACAGCTCTTCCATTAGGCAAAGAAAGTCAATTGCCTCAGGCAGCAGATGCGTGAGGACAGTAATGGCAGTCTGCCAGCTGAACAGCTGAACTCTTCAGGTGTTCCCTACTGTTAACAAGCCATGTGTAAACTACAACAGGCATTGTGGTATCCCCTACCCTATTACAAATGCTGAAATAAATTTCACCAGCTCATCTAGCTGGCTTCTGTATACAAGATGTGGGGTTGGTGGGGGCATCGTATGTGGGATGGATGGTAAGGGATATGCCATTTTGCTCAAGGTTGATCCACACAACATCAGATGACACAGGACAAGATTAGCAGGACTGCTCCACATAATGTGTACAATAGTACAGTTTGAAGAAAGGAATCTTGCAGCATATGAATGAGAATCCTTTAGGTCACTGGTTCTTAACCTTGGGTTACTCAGGAGTTTTGGACTGCAACTCCCAGAAGCCTTCACCACCAACTGTGCTGGCTGGGGTTTCTGGGAGTTGCAGTTCAAAAACATCCGAGTAACAAAGGTTAAGAACCACTGGTTTAGGTCTCTTGGATGTACACAGGCTTCCTGCATATGTTACACTGTCAGAAAAGAGTCACTTCTCTGGTTCTCAAGAGGATCACTGAGCAATGTGGAGTGCAATGTGACACATCCACCAGTGAAAGCATCAAGTCAAATATTTCTGTTACATATTCACAAATGCCCTGCATTCACAACCTCTGAAGTTCAGGACATCTAGCAACTCATATAATGTACCATATCTTTTCAAGCTAAGCTACTGTCATAAAAGAGAAAAATGGTTCATGAGTAACATGTACGTGGTACTATTTCCTACACTTATCACGCTAGCAAAGCAGGGCAGATTTGTAATTGTTGCACACCCTGTTTGCATTATGACTTCTTCTCTTAAAACCTTCTTATAGCTTCTTATCCTTTGCTTCTAGGTTCCTTCCCCGCCCTTGAGAATGCCGTCTCAGTGCCAACTTCTAGTCAGGAGCAAATAAAATGAAGGTCTACTCTGAAAGCTGATTTATGAGTTACCTTTGTGAACATATGAGTTACCTCTACAGGATCACAAGAAAGGTCTTTTTGTGACATGAGTTATCAGCCACCAGGCCACAAAAAAGGGTCTGTTTTGTAGCTGACTTCAATGGCCCTACTTTAGTTGAGATTACTAATTGGATTTAGGCCAATGATATTTTGATCAAAAAAAGTTCTTCTCAGTGTCCTGTACAGGCTTAGAGCTGTGGGACCCAACCATTCATTACTTTGCTACAGGATCACAAGAATACAAATCAGAAAAAAGACTCTTAAGTGTGTTTCCATACCTTATCCTTTGCATCATTCAGAAGATCTTCTAGCTCTGAAAAGCTAAAACTTGCTACAGTGATAAAGTCACTCATGACGGGGACAAACTTGTCCCCCGGTTCCCGTATACGTCTCTTCTGGTAGTCCAGCTCCTAAGAAAAAGAGAAAAGTCAGAACAGAAGGCTTGTAGATAGCTGGGAAGTCTCTGGTAGTTTAGTACAGTGGTTCTTAACCTTTGTTACTCGGATGCTTTTGAACTGCAACTCCCAGAAACCCCAGTCAGGACAGCTGGTGGTGAAGGCTTCTGGGAGTTGCAGTCCAAAACCCCTGAGTAACCCAAGGTTAAGAACCAGTGGTTTAGTAAAATTGGTACAGCCACTTTTGCTAAATTCAAACAACAATACATAGGATGGACAGGTTTGGAAATACCAAGAGTCTGTAATTAAAAACAGTCACTTCTTAAGCATTCCTAGTATCAATGAATGAACCCATTTTTATCTTGAATCTCAAAATAATTGCTGGTGTAAAGTTGGGGTGGGGTAGCTTCTCCACCAGGATCTTTTTTCTTGAACATTAAGAGAAGCTTTGATTTTGCCAAGTTTTAGGATCCTAGTTTTAGAAGTTTACCTACTTTTAGAAGTTTAAGTAGAAACATGTGATCAGTATTCCATTTGTGAACCATTAAACCTAAGAGCAGGAGCATTTGAGAAGATATGGCTGGTGTTCCAAACCTTGAAAGTTCAATCTTTCAGTTTTTAAGAAGTTCGTGTACAATCCTCTGACCTGTGGCATGCCAAGGAAAACATGCTCAGTAACAAAGAAAAACTTAGCACTTTACTCCATTGTTACATTTTGGCCAAGTTAATAGAAAGGCAATGAAATTACGGTCAAGCCAATGAGTATTTATTTTTGATGTTAATGATTTTCTAAAATGAGACTTTTGGGGGGGAAAAGAATCAGGTACTGTATCAAAGAAAGAAATGAAGTGTAGCCACTGTGAAGACCAACCATTTTCAAAGTCCCTGAAGAGGGAGCATATATTTAACAATGAAACCCTTGCTTAACTATGCAAAAGGTCCCATGTTTAGTTCCAGATTGGAAGATCTTGTGCAGTGAGGTTAAAAAAACCTAACACAGAAAACAAAACTGGGCAGGGTAGGTCTATAAAACAGCAACATAAGCTCAGAGAGAGAGAGAGAGAGAGAGAGAGAGAGAGAGAGAGCAGGAAAACCAGGTTGCCCACTTGTTCAATCTGATCATGGAAAAGTTGTGTATGCATATTTAGAGAATATGTAAAAGGGCAAGATATCTGGGGCTTTAGAGATTGTGTTCGAATACAGACTGCTGGGCAGTCTGGTGGGGGCTGATGGGATTTGGAATTCCACAACATCTAGAAAAGTTGCAGCCCTAACTTACAGTGAATTAAACATCTGCAGTTCTCCAGGTCTGTCTTAAAGTGAAAGCAGAGAGTGGAGAGAGTGGGAGCTAAGAATGGCCTAGGGGCATACAGAAGCAAAGAGGTACATCAAAATAACCAAGAAATGGAGACACTATAGACCAGTGGTTCTTAACCTTTGTTACTCGGATGCTTTGAACTGCAACTCCCAGAAACCCCAGTCAGGACAGCTGGTGGTGAAGGCTTCTGGGAGTTGTAGTCCAAAACTCCTGAGTAACCCAAGGTTAAGAACCAGTGCTATAGACAAAGCCCAACCATAACAATGGCAGAACACAGCCATTATTAAGAAGCAGATCATTTCTCCTCTCTGCTATTCAAGATTACATCATCATCATCATACCTTAGAACTGCAGAGAGACCCTATGGACCACCAAGTCCAGCCCTTGTCAAGAAAACACAGTGCAATTGAACTCCACAGCCATATGCCTAAACCACTGAACTATCCAGAAGTTCAAATGTTCATGTCCAATTGAACATTTATGTTTTACTTATGTGAAAGGTGGCACATGCAGGGTGACTCCCACCACATTAACATTCCAATCTAAAGTAAATTTCTTCCACTTTCAATTCAGATTTCAACAAAACTGGATAACCCTGTGCTGAGACCCACTGGGCAATGTGTAGCCCACATAACTGAACTGAATTGTAAATCACTCCAAGCACTACGGGGTGGCATATAAGGAGCACACTTTGCTTTGCTAATGTGACCATTTCAATGCTTCTTTCTCAAGATGCTTGTCAGTGCTTTGAATGACCCCAGGAGGTCAGTCAAGGACAAGATCAAGGATTCCTTGACACCTACTTCTCTTCAATAAGCTTCACCATTTGTTCCATAAGCAAGTCCAAGAATGGGTGCTGCATAGCTTTAACATTTGCTTTAGCCTCTAGATGTTCTGCCACCTTCACACAATTAGTTCACAACTCTGATTTTCTGCAGAGGAAATTAATATGATTATTAATCAGATTTTAGAAAGGCAATGTGAAGGGTGCAAATTTGGAACCTGCAAGTGCTGCCACTGTTTTGAATTTTCTCAATAGGAAGCACAAGCTGCTGTTGCAACTACCTAACAGCCCAGAGCCAGACCCTGAGATCTTCCTACGTATGTAAACATTTCTCGTGCCCTTTCTCTGCAAGATGCAAAGTGCATGTGCACACAACTCCACAGAGAGAGAGAAAAAAAACACACAGAAGAGGTGGCTGATAATTAAGACAGGCATCAATAACCTGTTGTCTATTGATTCAAATTAATAAATCAATTAGCAGTCACTCTCATTTGGAACAATTCACTTAGCTCATGTAGTTTGCGAATCGTGCAATTTTGGAAGGAAGGACAACCAGCAAATTGTTATTTTCACAGATGCACAAAAGCTTTACTGGAAGCCCTTGAAAACATCTAGTAATCCATGCTAGTGAGGTGAAGAATGTTGCAATCCCTCATCTTTGCCTGCCAGAAAAACAGCTTTAATTGTGTCAAGGTTTAGGTCAAGGTTGTCTGAAGGACCATAACCTCCTAAACTCTGAGATATTCAGAAGAGTACCTTGTCTCAATCCCAATAGGCATGTTTGGTGGAAAGGTGAAAGGTGGTCCTGGTGGCTTCTCCCAGCCTGGGAGGCTCCTTTGAAGCATAGCTCAGTGGGCCTCCTTGTTATTGTCCTTTCCTAGCAGATAAGGTTGTGACACCTGAGAAGCTATGAGAAAGGGGCCTTCCATGAACTAATGTCCTATCAAAAAAAGTAGATGGCTTTTAACATTGCTTTATTTAATTCAACCGTTGGCTTATCTAGCTCAGTATTACCCAAATAGACTGGCAGTGGCTCTCCAGGCTTCCCAACAGGAGTCTTTTGCAGCCCTAAACAAATAACCTCAATTTGGAACTGGAAACTTTTGAATGCTCTCCTACTACTGGGGCTCTTCCACAGGGTCACAATTTCATATCCGCGAATGCTCGTCGGGCATTTTCTTTCTCTTTAGCTTTCCACATTTAGAATGCAAGCTTCTTGGGGCAGCAAGTCCATCTTCTCCTCTGTTCATGTTCCACGTACTCTGGTGACTTGCTTATACAGTAGGACCTCCGTATCTGCAAGATCAGTATCTGCTGATTCACTTATCTGCTGCTTGAAAATACTGTAACCCCCAAAACAACCTATCCAGGGTGTATTTATCTGCTGGCCACTAGAGACAGCCAGAGAACATGCAATGTATAGCGTTCAATACTTCCACATTTTCTGGCATCCACGGGGGGAGGGGGCTTGGAACCAATCCACTGAAGGTACCGTGATCTTACTGTAATAATGGCTAAAATATGCTTCTAGTTGTATACAATACTACAACTTACACCAAGACTGTCTGTAATGTTCAGAGCTTAGCAAGAGTTCTTTTTTTAGGATAATGGGATCCAAAAGGAGGGTTTTAGTCTGAAAAAGGACCCTCCTCCCCCAGATCTTAGGCATTAGCCTTTTTTCTTCAACCCAGGAAGAACATTCAGGATTAGATTTTTTGACTGCCAAAAAATAAAAATAAAAATAATAAAAAATAAAAATAAAAAATCTCCAGAGTCACCATTACAGATCTTCACAAACCTGAGGCCAATGCTGTTGGCCGGAAAGCAAGTGCCCTGGCAGCCGTTCTCACAAAGAGAAATGACCGTTTACAGCTTTTCCCATTTGATATCCTTTGCTTAGCCGCCTTTGCTCTGTGAAGGTTCTCAAAGCTGGCTTCTCGCGTCTTATTTTTTAAAGTCATGCTGCCAAGCTCTGGGAAGTGAAGGATTACAAGGTGCCTCTGTAAGCAGCTGACCGTGAAGCTATTTTTAGTCCTGTGTTTGTAATAAGGGGCCTTAGAGAACCCTCTCAACTGTCAGGACTGTGACGAGAACAGGCTGGAGCGCAGTCAAGAGTTACACCTTTCTCCCCCCCCCTCCTCTCTCCAGCCCTCCATCCTCCCTGCTCAACAACGATCTTCCATTGTTGCTACACTGCTGCACTTTTCCGTGCCAAAAAGAAAAAAAGAGAGGGAAATGAATGAACAAGATTGGGAGGTGGCGGCTGCCAAGGCTGAAAAAAATGCAATCCTAATAAAGTGAAGTAGAAGAGAGAAGGGCTGGTGTATGAATGAGAAAGAGATCTTACCCAAGAAATGGAAAGATAAGGTAGTGCAAGGACACTGGGCAAACAACCCGCAAGCTGAAACCAAACCAAACCAATGGTTTAGCATTTGACAGCTGCAACCATCTTGTAATTTCTTGCTTGCAGTGAAGCAGCCAAAATAGAGGCACTGGAGTACAGAAAGCTTTCCTGTCATGTGAAACACTGGGCTTGCTACAGAAAGTGGGTGGGGCACCTTGCAAAGGACTAAAGTTAGAACTGCCCGGACACCTCTGATGCCACAAGTTCGTCACTTCGTGGTTTAATATTCTCCAAAGAAAGAGGAAAAGATGCACAATCCTAATACATAACTTCTGCCTGCAACCAAGGGCCACATCACACATTACAAGATCTGTAGAGTTTGATCACTGGTGCATTTTGAGTATCACCAAGCCCATATTTGTAACTTTTGATACATATAGTAAAGCTTGAAGTTAACACAATGCTTTCTCACTCTCAAGAGCTCAAGGAGACCATAGTGTATGCAGAAAAGTAATTAAAATGCAGTAAGAAAAAAATTGAAATGAATGATAACATTTATGCAATGGTCTCACTTGTTGGAATAGTTTCATCTTGTGATGGTGTTTGATACCTTTACCCTAAGATATAATTGCAGCAGTTGTGAATGTCATAATATTGCCCTTCCAAATCACAGATGAGAGGTAACAATACCATGATTTTTTTAAAAGCCAGTGGCAGAGTCAGAATCAGAATGAGAAAGTGGGTGTGGCTGGCTCTAAACCCCACACTCATCTCTCTCTCACGCACACAAATACACACCAACATGACAAAGTCTTTCTGTTTTGCAAAACCCCATTGGCTCTATTCCTTATAGAATCCATGTGGCTCTGTTCCCATGACTCATTATGGTTCTTTAAAGAAATCAGAGCCCATAAAACAAAGCCTAAAATAGGAGATGTCTTCTACTTTTGAGCTACTCACTAAAAGGTAGGCCTGTAATTCTCTGAATGCTTATTTTCAACAACTAAATACAAAGTACCCTTTCCAATTATTTCATATGCATGGTCTACTAAGCTAGAACATGCTTAAAATGGAGAGGTCTGGAGGATGAGAGGACATCTCATTATGGAGAAGAAAATCTGCTTGCAGAAGAGGATGGAAAAGATCTACCTGAGATCTAACAGACAGTATGGGGCTACATGGCAAGTAGGCTACATGACATCAAGTCCAACCCACTGCTCAAAGCAGGAATCCAAACCAAAGGTGGTCTACTAGATGGTTTGATTTTCTCTTGAATAGCTCTAGAGTGGAGCGCTCGCCACCTCTCAAGGTAATTGATTCTACTGCCACACTGCTCTAACAGTAAATATGTTTTTACTGATAGTCAGCCTAAATCTGGCTTCTTGTCGCTTTAGCCCATTATTACGTGTCCTGCATTCTGGAATGGTCATGAACAGATCCAGTCCTTCCTCTGTACAATGACCTTTCAAGTATTTGAAAAGTGCTTTCATATCTCCCATCAGTCTTATTTTCTCAAGGCTAAACATGCCCAGTTCTTTCAGTCTTTCAGTTTAGTAATGTACTCCCCACCTTTCCTTTCCTTCTTGTGGAAGTGTAAGTTTGTTTAACTTGTTGGGAAATGGTCTGCATGATGTTGTAAATCACACAATGTGCAAAGAAGCTTTCTGGAACAGTAATGCTCCTGACAGTTTCCGTGCAACTTCATTTTTAATGTTACGTAGTGCCGGGACCATCCATTTCATGCCTGCCTGCCTGCCTGTTGTCCTTGGCAGCCGTTTTGGCAGGTAGTAAATGCCTTAATGCATCAACGTTACCCCACCTGTGTAGACCTGTCCACATCAAACACCTGCTCAGAAGCCAGATGTTTCATAAAGCATTCCACATTTTATAAATGTGGTCAAAGGCCCATTTCCATACTTTCAGTAGCTGACCAAAGAAGCTTCTTGTTAACGGGCTCCATCTGTTAATATTGTCAGTCCAACTTGCGCGGGAGACATTTCCAAGAAGAAAGACAGGATGTTTGTGTTTTTAAAGAAGCAAAGCCTTTTTAACAAAGGAAAAAAAAGCTCCTTCTACCCTCATCAAAAACATGGCGCCCCAGATGCCAAGTGGACTTTTTAAAAATGGAACATTTGGAAACCGTGACATACTTACAGCTTCAACAGCTTTCAATCCAGCCTTTATATTGTTAACTTCCTTCTCCAGCTCCACCAGGCTGCAAGGAGACACACAGGGAGACACAGCCATTTAAAACAAAAAGGGCAGTGTTAACATGGGAATACAGGAACTGCTGAAACAAGGGGGAAAATTGCTGGTTCATCAAGTCTAAAATCCTACTTCTAGCCCTGGCCCCATACTAGATGCTCAGAACATCTAGGAAGAGGGGTCCATTCTGCTTTGTGCTGCTTTCTAGTAGGATGTTTCAGAGCCATGCCTGTGTGTACCCATATTAAAATATCTTACCATACCCGGAAGAGAACAAGCATTTTACCCTCAGGTATCTGCTGTGTGCAAGCAGGCTGGTAGCCCACTGAACACATTTTGGCATCAAATGCTAGCTATTCTTGCCAGCTACTCAATATTTTCCCACTACTGACTGGTGCTGTCAGTCATATCTTATGAATGCGCTTCCCTTGTTTGTTTGTTTAGTCGTTAAGTTGTGTCCGATTCTTTGTGACCCCATGGACCAGAGCATGCCAGGTCCTCCTGTCTTCCACTGCCTCCCGGAATTTGGGTTACATTCCGGGTTCCTGTGCAGTATTTTTCTTTGCAGCATCGGACTTTCCTTTCACTTCCAGGCACGTCCGCAGCTGAGCGTCCTTTCGGCTTTGGCCCAACCACTTCATTAGCTCTGGAGCTACTTGTACAGTACTTGTCCTCCACTCTTCCTCAGAAGCATGTTGGATGCCTTCAGACCTGAGGGGCCCATCTTCCAGCGTCATATCTTTTAGCCTTTTGTTTCTATTCATGGGGTTTTCTTGGCAAAGATACTGGAGTGACTTGCCAGTCCCTGCTCCAGGTGGATCGTGTTTAGTCAGAACTACTCTTCCCTACTGCTTCTGAATTGTTAAAATACTAGTTTTATTATTGTTAGCTGGCATGGGCACCAACTGCGAAATGATAGGGTACGCTACATTTAACTGATCAGCTAATAACTGCCTAGCTTGAAGATAAGAACACAGCAGCAGAATATCAATTTTAGTCAAGTCAGCCACAAACAAGATAGCACAAGATATGTCACTATCCTTGTGATTGTTTCCCATTACTGCAGTCATTTCTGAAAAAAAACCCCACTTTTTTTCCCAACCTCTGGTGTTATCTGGACTATGATTTTTACGTTGTTCTGCTATGTTTCATCCATTTATTTAAAGTATTTAAGTTCTCTACCTGTGTACAGATCTACACATATGTGTAAGTATACTTAGGAGCAGGTGTCCATGTTTTGTGTTCATGTGTATACTGCTTTGAACAGAGAAAGTACCTTTAGTCTAGTGGTGAGCAATTACATATTTTTCTGCATTCGTTCATTCATTAAGGCCTGCAAATCTACTCTTTAACATAAATCCATGCTTCCTCAGACATATTTCAGAATTTCATGCGCATTCTATAAACACATTGATGTGGGTATAAACATAGCTTTCAATTAAGTCGCTTATATTTTTTAAAATAAAAAGGCAAAATAGAATTTAAGAGCGCAATTCTCAGCATGTCTTCTCAGAAGCAAGTGTTACTGCAACCAATGGGATTAACTGCTGGTTAAGAGTGTAGAGGATTCCTGGCTGAGGAAAGTAATCCCCTTCTAAATAGACACAATGAATAAAGGCTAGCAGGAAGAAAACTTTCATAATGTGATAAATGAGCAATAAACAATTATTGGCCTTCCATGCAGTGTTACAGCAATCGAGAGGCCACATGAAATGAGTGCAATGTGACAGCTGGTGCTAGTTAATGCCTGGATGTGTGCATGAACAAAGCTGGAGGGTGCGGCATAAAGTTCAAGGATATGAAGTGTGTTTCCTAGAAGTACTTGTTGTGTAAATTAAGAAAAAGCTTCAGACCACATTTTGAGCTTTTTACAGTTCTTTTCTTTTTGAACTCATCCTTGACTTCATACTTGGAGTATCCCTGATGATGAGCTGAGCACCATACAGAATAATTACATCAGCAGCTGCACTCAGGTTTGATGAATGGCCCATTTAACCTAATCTGTCTGTATTTTACAGTGACTAGAATTGAATATTCTAGGGGCCATGCTGAGATTTTTACTTCTTAAAAGATGACCCTCCTAGCAAGGTTTTGTCCACCTTAATCTTCTTCAGCAAAACACATCTCTTTTTTTCATCTTTCCATGTCCACTATTCTTTAAAGTTAGTTTTATTACTGGCTGCCACCCCACTGCCTTACAACTCCTTCCAACGTCGTGTGCTAATTTCACTGGGGACTGTCTAGATGCAGAAATGTGAAACTCTGTAGATGAAATGTCAAAGAAGCTTTCTCGTAGACAATAGCAGAATGCATGGCTTGGATAGCCAAAGCTCTAGATGCAAGGCTGGCATCTCCAGACAGAGCTGAGAAAGGCATCTGATTACCAGAGAACCACCATTAGTCGGTGCAGACTTAAGAAAGCTCCTTTTGTTTCCTGTGTTCCCCTTATTCACCTGTGCTATTTTTGCCTTGTTTGACCATTTGATCTCTCCATTTCATACAAGGAACCTGGAATTTAGTCATAAAATTCCCTAAAACCTATGACCACAAAAGAAACGATACAAACGGCTATCATTGCATGATTTTTGAAATTTAATTACTGTAATTAATTGGAGAAGGAACATGTGCTATTTAAAATGTGGTGATAGCCAATATGAAGAAGAGAACTATGGGTGGGTGATACAGGTTGGATGAGTTAAGTACCGCTTTGCAGCAAATGTGCAGCCTATATAACCAAACTGTAAACCACCCAGAGGGTGCCTTAAGCACTATGGGGCAGTCTATAATCACTTTGCTTGACTTTGCCTTACAGAAGCTGGACTACATAACCTTTGGCCATAATCTGCATGGCTCTTCTTTTGTTCTCTCACACACGTTTATAGCACACCATTCTCTCCACCTGCTATTCAAGAAGACAAATCCAAGTATTATGAATGAATCCCAGTACCATTTGAATTCCAAATTTCCCCTAAAACTTACTTGACTTTTGCTGCTTCTGGAAGATGCTGCAGTTCGGATTGCACCTCTAGGATCTCTAGGTAGTTCTTTTCAAAGATCATAATTAAGTAGTGTAACAGTGTAATGTTCCTAAAGGAAAGAGATATGAAAGATGGAGAAAAACAAGATGCATCAGTCTGAATGCAGTAGTATATTTGGAGAGACTGGCATGACATCAGCCTATCCAGCTAAAAAAAGGCACATTTTTTCCTGCATAACAAAATAGTATTTCCCATAGCACGGTTTCTTCTCTAGAAGTTGAATAGCTATTTATCATCATCCAATGATCCAACAGCAGACACATCAGTGGACTGAGTACATTATAGTCCTCAGAGAGAAACAATTCAAATGCAGAAGTCACACTTTGGCACAAGACAAAATCCTTTTCATGTGACCAAGCCATTTTAATGTATATTTCAGTGCTAGAATGAATGTGCCCATCTTTAAAACTTCACTGCCTGGTTCGAGTTCAGAAGGGACATTTTACATTTTTGTGTATGTTTGTTGAAACTTTTTTGAAAATGCATTTCAGAGGTATGGGGTATGTAAGTCTAATTTCCTTTTCCCCCTAAAAGTCATTTTCAGTGTTGTAGGAAAAGGGCAGCACCACCCACAGTGATGCTCAAGGTCTCATAGCACAACTACGAAAGGACACCACATAATGGCGCAGCAGTTTTCCAAGTGTACTTCCTTCTGGAGGGAGTAGCACATGACTGCCCTCAAAAGCAGTGGGGTTGGCCAATCCTGTTCCACAAAATGCCCTGGAAGAAGACAATGTTGTGTAGCACCTTTCTGCAGAGATAATGTAGAGCAAATTGGCCCCAAACATTACTGGAGGTGGTGCTGCTTTCTTACTGTGACCAAAAAACAAAAATCAAAAACAAAGTAAAAGAAAAGAAAAGAAAAGAAAAAAACCTCTGCTGTTTGCATTTGGGGTATATTTGCTGCTGCCTGCAAAAAATATATAGAGGTTTTTGTAGGTCTCTTGACTAGAAATGTGACAAATGCTTGCAAAAATATCTCAGTTTTGGCAGTTTTCCACGTCTTGCCACACCAAGACTATTGCCTCGGAATCCCCCTCCTGTCCCATTCCAGCAAGATTTCTTGATTTTCCCATGAGAATGAGGCTCTGGTTTCATTTTTCCTTTTACTTTGTGTTTGTGACCATTGTTCCGCATTGAAAACTGGCAATTTCTCCACAGCTTAACACCCTTTCCAGTAAATCCTTCGCAGGAAAAATGCCACTCTGTGGAAGGACTGTAATAATTCTGTGCCCATTTGTGAATTTTCTACCCTTGTCAAGGGAATCAGGAAAGACTGGTACTCATGTTTTCGTATTTCCTTTTGTGTGAACTGCACTAGGAATTTTTGTTAACTGAAAATAAAATGCTAATAAATAAAGTTACTTGTCTATGCTGGATTTGGTGTCTGCAATTTTGTTCAGGCTGGAGACCTTAAAGCCATATGCATTTCCTCTTTGGCCTTTGTTCATATAATTGCCGAAAGCTAACACAACCTCGAGAAGCTGCTTCAGGCGCTTACTACGGATGAGCTCTTTGGATGCCAAAAGAATAGCTGAAAGAAACAGATGAGAATTATCCTTAGATTCATGCACTGTTATCACTTCCATCAATGGGTGGTAGTGGGGACTATACATGTAAAATATTTATCACATAAGGATGAGCCTTGTGTGATAAATGAAGACGAAAAAACTTAAAATACCCTAAGTGCAAGATGCAGGGTCTCTCTCTCTCTCTCTCTCTCTCTCTCTCTCTCTCTCACACACACACACACACACACACACACACACACACACACACACAACTCCTGGAAAGATGTTCCTTGTGTATTTCCATAAAATGCAAAAGGCTGGAAAATGGGATAACTACTGCTTAGTTGCACAAACTAGAAATAGTAGTAGCATTTTTGGAATTGGTTGCTTCTTTCTTTGTTACAAATCAACTTATTCTTTAGTACTTGCTCTGCGGGTATGCTTGGCTTTGTAAAAAGAAGAGGGCATCAATTTTGTACAAACAGTAAAAGTCACAACAGAAAGAAAGCCCAGCTTGGTCCCTTTTGATGTGCCCTCTGACTGTGCCAAGATGACTTATCCTGACCAAAACTGTGGGGCCGTGGTGATCGCTTTCAGCATCCACGCCATGAATAGAAGTCTCATAATGTGCAGCATCCCTTCCCAGTGCCATGTGTCAGAACAAACAGCGTTTGCCTCTGGGGCACTAGGTATGAAAATACACAACCAAATATTTCAGTTTCCATTGTGGGAAGGTGTTCAAGCAAGACGACAGATTTATCGTCATCATAGAACTGTAGGGCTGGAAGGAACCCTACAGATCATCAATTCCAGCCCCTGTCAAGGAGGCGCAGTGGGGAATCAAACTCCCATCCTCTGGCTCCACAGCCAGATACCTAAACCACCAAATTCTCTAGCAGTTCCTAAAAAGAGAGAGAAATATTTAAAATATAACAATATTTATGTTACATTACGTTAACAATATAATCTGCATTGTCACACATGTTCCTGTGCTTAACAAAGAATAATTGCCTTGAAATAAGGATTTGCTCCATATATATTTTTTATTTTTTATTTTTTTGGAGGTTGATAAAAGTGCTATGATCCCTATGAAGGTTTTAGACTTACCTTCCACTTTCGGCTTGGCTTCTGCAAGCCTCTCTGGAAACTTCTTCTTAAAGAATAATGCTTGAAGTCTCTGCTGATAGTGGTCAATCCTGAAGGAAAAGAAACAAAAAACTTTGATTATGTTTCAGTGAGAACCCCAGGAGTAAAAAGAGTTCATTTTTATTCCAAGCCCAAACCCAGAGCCTCATCCTACTGAAGCTCAGTGACAGATGGCCTCAGCACGTTACTCTATTTGTTCTTCTGAAAAGTTAGCTTTGCTCTATCACTGTTCTGGCAAAGCTTCATGTAATGTGGACCTTATCCATTGCATACTGAGTTGTGTGACTCAGCTTGCAGCTGACCTCTGTAGTGATTTGTTAACTTGAGTCTATTTGTCTCTAAAAGCTGCACTATTTGCATAGCTACACAAGAATATTTTGGCTAATGTTGTTAAGTTTCAGCCCTTGTCGAGCATTTTTAAACAAACACATAATGACTGGGGTGAAACTGTCCAAAAAAGTCTACTGTACATTATCACTGAGGTGCTTTCTTTGTCCCGGCTAATGGAACATATTAGCTCCAACCAAAGAAGTCAACAAAGACATGTTCTGGTTGTCAACAGATTAGCCCCATTCAGAAATGGGAATTCTCAGTATATTAAGGAAATACAAGAGAATAACCCTCAATACACTGTACTTCTCACTTAGTGAGAAAATACTCTATATTTCACTTGCTTTTTTCCCCCAAATCCTGGAAAGTGAGGGTTAATTTTCAAAGGAAGGTGCAACATCTTAAAAGAGAAATGCTATGTTATATGCTGTCAAGTTGGAACCAATTTATAGCAATCCTAACAGGGCTTTCAAGGTAAGTGAGATATTTAAGTAGTGGTTTTACCAGTTCCGGGCTAGGGACGTGGTGGCGCTGCGGGCTAAACCGCAGAAGCCTGTGCTGCAGAGTCAGAAGACCAAGCAGTCATAAGATCGAATCCACGCGACGGAGTGAGTGCCCGTCGCTTGTCCCAGCTCCCGCCATTCTACTGGTTCGAAAGCATACAAATGCGAGTAGATAAATAGGGACCACCTCGGTGGGAAGGTAAACAGCATTCCGTGTCTAAGTCGCACTGGCCATGTGACCATGGAAGATTGTCTTTGGACAAAAAAACGCTGGCTCTATGGCTTGGAAACGGGGATGAGCGCTGTCCCCTAGAGTCGAACACAACTGGACAAAAATTGTCAAGGAGAACCTTTACCTTTTACCAGTTTCACAACTCCAGTGAGCTTTGATTGCTGAGTAGGGATTTAAACCCAGAACTCCTGAGTCCTAGTCTATCACTCTGTCCACTACACAGAAGTGTACCATTTGTTCATATTGTCTCTTTCACATGCACGTGCACATGTACAAACTTTACCTGCTCATTTCATAAAGGAAGCGATCAGCCCGAGCCATGCGGTCAATTTCATGCTTATGCTCTTCCAACAGGTCAATATCACTTTTCTCAGGAACAAACTTTAGGAGCTGAAATCACAGGTGCACAGAAAGCAATTTAAAAACACACAACACGGCATGAAAGAAACAAGGAGGCAAGTAATAAAAATGCTACTGTTAAGAAAAAAGTAATGTTCTGAATTTTCCCCTAGGATTATACTGTAATTCCAGAGCAATGCAACTGTGGCTGAACAAGTGACCTTTCTGAAACATCTGGCTGCTTCTCTGCCGATCTTTTCCTCTCTGTGACTTCATTACATACTTTTGATTTCCATCTCGGATTTCCCATTTCTAATAATTATTGGTTGTTTATATGTTGTTGACATTCAGCAAAGAACTCTGTTAAATGCCAGAAGCCCTCCAGGGCATATTGGTACATATGAAGCAGTTCAGAAAACAGAGATAATTTCCTCCATCTTTCAAAAATGTCACAGTGAAAAATATCTGTGTTTTGATCATTCTTCTTCATGAGCTAAACTTAAAAGCCCCTACATTGAGCATATTCATTTCCTTCTCCCTCCATCCCTACAGATGTTTAAAACGGCCTAAATTCTGTCACATAGCTATACCTCTCAAAGGCAAATGATATAACTTCACAGCAGCTTCTTGCTCGCAATTAGCAAGACCTCACTTGGATTTTTGAGCATGTACCAACTCACTGGACTAGAATGCACTAAAAATCCATTAACTGCTAGCCACTTCAAGTTACAAAATTTGCCTCCTGCAGGCATAAATGAGCAATTACCTCTTGCAGGCACATTTTCCCCAAATCTAATCCTCCCCAACTTAATGCAATACCTTTCTCCCAGAAACCACAAATCTGTGCCTCCCCTCCATTGCTTCACCACTACTTTCACAATTTTGTCATCTTCATAATAGTTGTCTTGGAAGTTCTGCTTCTGGTGTTGAAAGTAGAGGACACCCCAAGGGCTCTAAGGAAGGTTCAGGTCGGGGCCAGGTGGCAATGTATGCTTGCACTATGCAAATCATGTCATTCACAGGTGTCTGATCACCACATTGTATAACCAAAACATTCATCACCCACAAGCAACATTCATTCTCTAATTAATCTAATCAGGGATTATTTTTTCCTGTGGTTAAAAGTTCAGTAACAGCACCTTGATTAAAGCGTGTTGGCACACCTTCCAAAGTAGCATTAACTCTAATGGCTACTAACTAAATTTGCACTATGATATAGTCAGCAGTTTAGTTTTCCTCCACTCACCTGTTCCAGCATATCTTTTGCCAGATCTTCTTCTTCATCCATTTTCAAGATTGCTTGTCGGATTTCTTCATTTGACAGTTTCAACCTTTAACGACATCAACATTGCTCCATTACTTTGCTGGCACAAATAACTTGAACAAAGCTAGATGTTCTGTCAATATTTTGTTGCAAAAATTAGCACCTCATTCACAGAAATGAACGCAAGTAAAAGCTTGCAGACAACGGCCCATATCCTGTTACTTAGTAAGTCAAAACTAGAGTAGGCCCATTTGAATCAATAGAACTTATAAAGGAGTCAGCTCTCCAAATCTCAGTTGACTCTAGTTGCAACTTACTATGCAAAGCAACAGGATTTTGGTCAATATTTCTCCAAACTAAGGCAAAGGTCAGCAATAATGCTTAGAGTAGCAATTCCTCACAGCATTCAGCTTTATGAATGGTATGGCTGCACGCCAACCACATGACTTGCTGAAACCAGCCCAGTTGAGATTGGTCAAATTTAGAGGCAGAGTGATTTGCCACAAATCTGAATGTGATATAGAAATGCAAGCCATCATACCATTCAGCACAGACTACCACTGGAAATCAATAAACTTTGCTGTCATTGGATGGAAGTTACAAGCATAGTGACATTTTCAGAGAAGACTATCCTTGCCAAAGTGTGATGGGGGGGAAGAGGGAGTCTTCTACTGTAATTAAATTAAAATTAATTTTTTAAAAATATGAACTGCTGGTAAAGTTTCTGTATCATGGCAGAATGAAATGTAGTTTGCACAGATAGCTTTCCTTCCTCCAATAATCCGGCTAGCCAAATTTCAGAAGAACATGCACAGGGAGTTTAGTGCAAGGGTGGTTTTACAGTTTAAAGCCTTTCCAAAAAGAGATAATCTATTAATCTACCTTTTGCAAGGCAATTGCCTCAGAAAAGACAGAGAGAACAGAGGCAGTCCTATTTAAGTAACTTCAAAATTTTCTAAGGGAAAGGAGTACTTGTCTCAGTAGAAAGGAAATGATCAAACTTCCCGATGTGGGATTTGTTATCTTACCCTGTATCGATTTTTTTTTTTGGTTAGGGCAATTTGCATGAAAGTGGCACATGTTGTACAGTTCCTCCAAGTAAGAAACCCCAGCAATTTAGAAGGTTAGGCGTTCGGGGCTGAGGAGTTTATTATGATTAATAATAAATTCCTATTTTCATTTTCCATTTAACTGAGACCAAAGTCGCAGTATGTACAAAAGGATGATGAATGGTGCTTGTGAAGCACAGAGTGATATAGCCAGACGTTTCTGGACAGCCAGCTTTTTCCAAACAAGCATTTGACACTATATACCCTCTGATGTTCTGGTGATGCCTCATCAAAACCCTTTTAGCTTTCCTGCCCTTGGGAATGGAACCTGGCAAAAAACCCACCAAACTCAGTCCTGCACTAATATACTTTCACAACTATTCCGTAAAGCACTACGATCTGGAGCCCTGATAACGTCATTCGCTGTGATCAGAGTCTAGAGCAGCAGTCATACAAGACACTCCATCTCTTTTCCCCCTCCACAAGTGATTTTCTCGTATGAAGAGCTTAGAGATAAATTATTAATTTTCAGTTTTCAGCTGCTTTTTCAGAGACACATGTGCCCCTCCAAATTCAGACTGTTTGTCTGGAAGTGTTCAGATTCTGGTCCACTTCACCGAAGATCCATTCTGGCCTTGTTCCCAAACCTGTCCAAATCAGGCTGATTACATTCTTAGCTGGGAATTTATCCAAATTCAAAGCCCGTTCTCACGGGCTCAAACATGAAGTCACTGGAAAAATGTATACATGGAAGATGAAATTCTCACTAATGGCTCTCCATGTGGAACAGCATTCACACAGTTGCGCTGACTGGATGTGAATTTGGCCAGCATTAGAAAACCTTCAATGGATTTAAACATGAATGCTAATTATGGGAACTTTTTTAAAAATGAAGGAAAAGAACAATTGCAATGTTTGCTGATATGACAGCCATAGAGAAATAACTGTGATGTCTGTATCCTTCTGCATGGTATCACCATTTTGGAATAGTCAGTAAATATATGTCAACCCCTTTCCAGGCAGCAAACAGTACTGCATCTGATATATTCAGCACTGCCCAATTTAATCAGTACCTGCCAATTAAAGTATGGAAATTCATGTTAAAAAAATAATCTTCTCAAATTATGTCCATTCCTTCTAGCTACTGAAAAATCTAAGAAGAAATCTGAGCATTCAACCCACTTCTTCTGAATAGAAAGGATGGATGCAAGGAATGAACTCAGAAGATGATGCATATCTGAGAACCTAAAGCTCCTCTGATTTGCTGTAGCTGCAACACTGAAACACAGGATCCAGCTGTTGGAGAGACTCCACTATTACTCTCATTTCCCTTCATCTAAATATAAATGCACACATTTCATATTGACTGTAAAATGGCTCTGCTTTGTGTATGGAAAAACATAACACTCACCCTTCCAGCTGGCACTAGTTTTAGCAGAGAAGCCAAAAGCGGAACAGACCATGGAGAATGAATTACCTTCTTATGTCTCAAGAGAGGTTCCCTCCAACTCAAATTTTAGAACTACTAAGCAAGACACTTGGAGAAATTTGCACTGCCCCTGGCTACAGTGATGAATCTGGTGGCCTCACACAGTTTTCAGCATCCAAGACCACAGTCTGGCATTTTGTTCCATTATTTTGAACATGATTTAGAATGCCCAAAGGATAAGCAGTAAAATCTACAAAGCTGAAATGTTTGTGTCTCTGAGCCCAGCAACTTAATGAGGAAACATCTGGTTCAAGTGACATGTCCTCCTCCTCCTCCTCCTACAGGGAAGTCCAAGGCCCCATGCTAAGATACAGTCAAGATGGCTACAAGGAAGTCCACAGGGAAACACATGAAGCCTGCAGGTATGTCTCAAACATCACTGCAGATCCTATCAGACTGCATTATGCTTGACACAGTTGCTCTCAACTCACAGGAACAGCTGAATAATAGGCTGCAAGTTACACCCCCACAGATGTGCTATTTACAGAGTTAGGACCTAGATGAGCAATTGGGTTCAAAGGGCTGTTAATCAAGTATTCTCATTGTGTGAGTGGTTTGCTTTCTTCCCAAGCTTCTGACTAACCATGAAGCAGATCTTAAAATAGCCAACAGTAACATAAAGCAGATGTGATGCTTTTTAAGCAAAAACAGGTGAATTTCGTTGAAGAGAAATCTTAAGCAGATCCCTAAAATTGTTCCACTGAGAGCTGAAGGAAGATGACTACTCAGAGAAGGCAAAGTGCTCATTGCAAGATAGATACCATGTTTAAAACTGATTGTGCCCAGAAGAGAGACACGAAAGTAGTGAAATCCTATTGTTGGATATGCATCACCAATGATTTTCCTACTAATAAAGCCAAATAAAGCCAAATATAGCTTTCTCCCTCTGGCATAACAACTTACAAACTCCAGACTATCTACATAATTCAAGCACCTTGTCTCTGTTTCATACTTGTTTGCAAAAAAAGAAAGAAAAAAGAAAACTTTAGAGTTAAAATGCTGGAGTTATAATGCACATTTCTTCTGATAACAACCAAGCCCAAATGATACAGGTAGATATTTATGGATACCTTCAGTAGAAAATTAGTTTTTGGTAAGCCACAATATGCTCCCCAAATCCAAAGGTACCTTTAAGTGTACTTGATGGCAAATGCTGCTCCTTGATCACTTATTTGTTGATTTGTGTTATTTATTTATACGTTGCCTCTCTCCCCATAGGGAAACCCAAGGCGGATCCCAGCGATTGAAACCGTACAAAAATAGCAAGTAAAACATACCACACAAAACTATATTAAAAACAATTAAACATTGGTTGAGATTTTAAAAACTTTAATTTTTAAAAAATATATATCTAAATTTCAAATATAGAATGTTACCTAAACCCCCACTCATTACTTAAACAATTGCCTGAAAAGGAATTCTCTGCCTGACAACCGAAGGACAAGAGGGAGGGGGTCCAACCTGACTTCTCCATGCATTCCAATGCCTGAGATGAGTCCCTGAGAATGCCCTCTCTCATGTCCTCACCAAACAAGCTTGGGAAGGTGGTAGAGATGAGAGATGATCTTAAAAGATGAGTAGTCTCATATGGGGTGATACAATATTTCAAATAGCCTGAACTCAAGTTGTATAGAACTTTGTGGGTAATAACAACAGTTTGAATTGAGTCCAAAATCAAAATGGGGGCCAATGAAGCTGCTGTAATAAGGGAGTTTACTTGCTCTCTGTAACCAGAGCTAGTCAGCAGTCTGGCTGCAGTGTTCTGAAACAACTGAAGTTTCCAAACATATTTCAAAGGCAATCCCACATAGAACACATCACAGTAATCCAGTTGAGATACAACTAAGGCATGGCTCATAGCTAAACTTCAGTTAACTAATGTACTAGGACTCAGTGCCTGGGGGATTACCGTCTGGAGGCCACCAGACAAAGAAGGTATTCTGTAGCTGGTAAAGATAGTAGGTTTAAGAAAGGGGAGAGTAATGTTGTATATGTGCATGTGTGCATACGTATGGCTTTGCACAGCTGACCTGCAAGAAGTGCATCTGCATCTGGTGTAGTGCTATTCTGCTGGAATAATTTACACCCCCAGACCTTAATTCTCCTCTCTTCAAGATTCCAGTATCAACTGCCATTTTGTGTCTGTTCACTGAGGCCCCACAGAGGGTTTTTATAGGCAAAGCACTAAATAAATCAACTCTTTCCTGATGTCTAACCTTGGCCAGGTAGATTCCTGAAGATCACAGATGAGAGAGATGGAAACAGTTCTCATTTCACTTCCCCAATGCAATGAACCATGAAGGGCGAACAGATCCAAACTGCCAAGTCAGACCGAAGTGATTCAGCTATTGGCCTGTGATATGAAGGGGCACAATTACCAACTTCATCCCCTTAGGACATATAAATGATCCCCATTGACTCTACAGACTAATTCATCACTAATCTTCTCCAGACACCTCACTGATTTAATGTCAGTAGACTAGACTTCAAGTGGCTTATTGTCTGGCCAAGTTACAGCAGTGGGGGAGT